CCTCCTCCTCCTCCTCCTCCTCCTCCTCCTCCTCCCCCTCTTCCTCCTCTCGCTGGGTCGCAGCTCGCGCGCGCGCAGCAGCACGAGCCCGCGACCACTTTGGAGTTCGGCCTCCCCCTGGGGTCCTCCGAGGCCCTGCCCGCGGCGGGCCTCCTGCGCTCCTGCGGCAGCTGCAGCGACCTCGCACCCCGCAGCACGGGCTCCGTCCTGCGCTCGCCCGCCTCGGCGCTGAAGACCACCTCTGGGCGCTCGGCGGCCATATCGGGCCCCCTCGAAAGGCTCTCGAAGGCGCCGCGCCCAGACGGAGCTCGGAAGGCTGGCCGGGCTGGGCCGCGTGAGGGGTCGCGGGGCCCGTCGGGCGTAGACTCTGGTCGGGAGGTGTGCGAAGAGCGGGGGTGGGGGCCTTCTGATGGAGGCCTCCCAGACGGGGCTGGAGCAGATGTGGCCGGAGAATCGCGCCGCACTGCCGATGCACCGCCGACGCATCGGCGATGCATTGGCGCATTGGCGCCAGCGGGACGAAGAAGAACGGGTTCTATCCAGATCGCGCCGCATCGCCGACGAATCGGCGATGCGGCGCGAGGAGGAGGAGGAGGAGGAGGAGGAGGAGGAGGAGGAGGAGGAGGGAGAGGAGGAGGAGGAGGAGGAGGAGGGAGGAGGAGGAGGAGGAGGATGAGGAGGCGGGGGAGGAGGCGGAGGAGGAGCAGGAGGAGGAGGCGGAGGAGGAGCAGGAGGAGGAGGAGGAGGATCCGTCCCCACCTGGGAGACATAGATGCACAGAGGTGTGGGGGGCTTCCCAGAAGGGCCCAGGCAGGTGGAGCGCGGAGGAGCCCCCGCCGCGCGGGAGAGCTCTGAGAGGCCTTGCTCAGACCAAACGGCCTCGCTCGGGTCCTCCTCCTCCTCCTCCTCCTCCTCTCCCCCTGCACGGCTTCTTGCTTCCTCCTGCTTCTGCTCATCCTCCCCTCCTCCCTCATCCTCCTCCTCCTCCCTCCTCCTCCTCCTCCTCCTCCTCCTCCTCCTCCTCCTCCTCCTCCTCTTGCTTCTGCTCCTCCTGCTTCTGCTCCTCCTCGTCCTTGCTGACGCCAAACGGCCTCGCTCGGGTCCCGTCTTGAGAGCCTGCTTGCATTTTCCGCGATAGCGGCCGCTGCCGGCCCAGGCCGCCACCCTGAGGGTTGTCACGACTCGTGCTGGCCTCCGAATTATCTTTCGGGCTATTCCTGGGCATCCCCACACGGCGCCGACGCGAAACACGTGGCAGTGCTGGCGCCACCCCCCCTCCCCCCCAGAATAAACAACGCTTTCCTTATTGCTTCATGCACGCCACGGTGCTTCACCCAAACCGCGCAACGCAAAAACAAAAAACGCCCTCGAGCCCCTCGCTGACATTCTCGCGTCGCGAGCGAAACAAAAACGACGGAAGGCATGCGGCCGCTTCCAGGTTTTTTGGGGCCCCATGAAGAGCCCAAAGGCCGTCAAATAGCGGCTCGCGATGAACGGCCCGCAGGATGAGGTTCAGACCTCTGGGGAGCCACGCTGTGAAAAATCACGACGTCGGATGTCTGGGCTCGCCCCACTCAGCGCCACCCTGACGGGTACTCAGCGGGCGGGGATTTTGGACGACGCGGTGAGGTGGCTTTTCCCAACCGTTCTCCTTCGGAGGGAAGAGGAAGACAGAGAAGACAGGAGGAGGAGAAGAAGGAGGAGGACGAAGAGGAGCAGGAGGAGGACTAGTGTAAGCCCAAGACGCATCATCGATGTTGCAATGAACCCTCCCTCCAAGTTTCCTCTTGATGAATTAGGTCGCCACAAACAGGTATCCTCATTGCGGAAAATACGACAGTGGAAGACAACCGTCAGGCAGTCTTCGAACGTGACAAAATCTTTTTCTGGGACTTCAACGCAGCGAATCACTGTGATTATTGCGTCCTGACAATCTTGATCGTGCCAAAACGACTCCTGGGACTCCAACACCACCAATCAACGTGACCGCTGCGTTCTGGCATTCCCAAATCGTGCCAGAACGCCACTCCTGAGATTTCAACCAGACGAGCTCTCGAAATCCCCCCAGCCCTTATGACGTAAGTGGTTTAACGAGTTGTTTCTTTTCTCTCCCCCTCCTTCCCCTGCTCGGGGGAGGAGCTCGCCCTGTCCCCGACCACGACCCCCTCCCCGAGGCCTGGGAGGACGGGGGCCCGGGCAGTTAGTTTCCAGATGGGCCCAAGATGGTTCTTAGAAGGCCCTCGGCAGCCCAAAACGGCCTCCAAGATGGCTCAAGATATCCTGAAAGCGTTCAATATAGCCTCCTACATACCTCCAATAGTCCCCAAGACAGCCACAAGACGATTCCAAATGCTCTTGGAGCCTTCCTGGGAACTCTCAAAGAGGCCAAAATCTGTCAAAAACCTGCGGAAATTCAATGTGTTTTGCCTCTCGTGCTTTCGCTTCCGATGACCTCTTTCGATGCCCGACGGGACGCCCAACAGGAGCCCAAGAGAGCCCCAAAAGGAGCTCAAGAGCGCCCCGATACGTTCCCAAAAACGCCCAAGACACACCCAAGAACGGCCCCTGGTGGCCCCAAGACGCCACGTTTGAATCTCAGATGGGGGGACCTGAGTTTACGAACACACACACACACACACACGCACGCACGCACGCACGCACGCACGCCCGCGCACGCACGCCACGCACGCACGCACGCACGCACGCACACACACACACACACACACACACACGCACACACACACACACACACACGCACACGCACACGCACACGCACACGCACACGCACACGCACACGCACACGCACACGCACACGCACACGCACACGCACACGCACACGCACACGCACACGCACACGCACACGCACACGCACACGCACACGCACAAGCACACGCACACGCACACGCACACGCACACGCACACGCACACGCACACGCACACGCACGCGCACACGCACGCGCACGCGCACGCGCACGCGCACGCGCACCCGCACGCGCACGCGCACGCGCACGCGCACGCGCACGCGCGCGCGCACGCGAACGCGCACGCGCACGCGCACGCGCACGCGCACGCGCACGCGCACGCGCACGCGCACGCGCACGCGCACACGCACACGCACACGCACACGCGCACGCGCACCCGCACCCGCACCCGCACCCGCACCCGCACCCGCACCGCACCTTGCACCCGGACCCACCCACACACACAGACACTTGTGCGTCGGCGTCTGGGCAGAGGTGACTGCTCCGGCGACGCAGCATTAGCGGGGCGCACAAAATTCAAATTGGGCCGCGGCGCACACGAGGACGAGAGGGGAAGCCTGGCCCGGGCGGGGGAGAGAGGAAGCCGGGCTCACTCGGGCAAGTCCCAGCGGCGGCAGGGCGGGCGCCGGGGCGGGGAGCCAGCGGCGGCGCCGGAGCAGCAGCAGGGGGGAAGCAGCCCGAAGGCAGCGGGGCGCAGGCCCATGGAGCAAAACAAATTTAAATGCGAAGCGGCTGAACACTGAGATCTTCTGACCTTCCAAGCGACTGGACAGCCAACGATGACCGCGCCAAATGGGGGGGTCGGACACGTGAAACATCGAGGCGGCTGAGCACTGAAGTCTTCTGACCTGCCAAGCGACTGATCAGCCAAAGATGACCACGCCACAGGGGGGTCTGGAAGGAGCTGGCAAGGGTCCAGCACCCGAGGCACTGGGGGCGCCGAGATCTGCTGACCTGCGAGGCGCGGGAGAGAGGGCGGGCCGTGAACCGCGGGGCCACAGCGGAGCAGCGAGCACGGCCGAGCCGGGGGGGGCAAGCACGGGGTCGGGAGGCTGGCCTGAAAACCACGCACAACGAAGGCCCGACCAAGGAAAAGCCAAGGCCGGCCAGCCCTGGGGGGGGCGTGGCAGGGAGCTCAGAGGGGAGCCAAAGGCGGCGTCCGGACGGAACCTGCAGAAAGCCGGCGATCCGATCTGCCGAGGAAGGGGGTGCAGCGGCGGGGCAGGGCGCCCACCCGGACGCGGGAACGGCGGCCAGCGGCGACCAGGGGAGAGGCGCGCGGGAGCCAACGGCGAGGGGCAAGACCAGCCTGCCAAGGGCAAACGCAGCGGTCAACACCAGGGGGGGAGGGCGCGAGCGGCGCAGCGCGCCGCGGAGCCCGCACGGATGGCTCTGAGTCTCACGACGATGGAACCGCGAGCGCGACACTCGGCAGGGGCCGAGAAGTTCACAGGGGGGGGGCACCGAGGGCGCGCGGGGGGGCGGAAGCACCGAACAGGCGCAGCAACGCGGCATGGAAAAGGGGCCCGCCAGCCCGGGGGGCAAGGGCGGAGAAGGGTGGGCAAGCGCGGCCGACGGTCAGCGAGACCGCGGCCAGGCGCGCGGAGGCCCGCGGCACGCGGCACAAAATGCCCAGGAGGGGGGCGGCGATGGGCGCGCGCCGCAACTCAGGACAGGACCGCGAGAGGGGGCGGCAGGTGCCCGTCAGGCTCCAAGCAGGCTGCTACCAGTGAAGCGTCGAGTCCGTGGCGTCGAGTCCGCGTCAACGCCGGCGACGGCGTCTGAGGCATCGTCAAAGTCGGCGTCGGCGTTGGCGTCGGCGCCGACCGAAGGCGCTGACTCCAGCAGTAGCTGACGACGTCGGGCCCCAGCGTGGTCTCTCGAATCTCGCTGAGCAGCGCCAGAGCCCGCTGCCACCGATCGTCAGGCCGCACGCGCTGGCCCCAGCGCTGCGCTGCCGACGTCGGGCCCCAGCTTCGCCTCCCGCGACTTGCCGAGCAGCGCCGGGGCCCACTACTGCTCGTCGTCCTCGCGCGCACTGATCCCAGAGATGCAGCCGATGACGTCGGGCGCCAGCTTCGCCCCCCGCATCGCCCCGACATGCCGAGCGGCGACAACGCCCGCCGCCGGGCTCCCAGGGGGCCCGAGGGCGCACGTCGTCTGCACGTCGCCACAGCCGCGGGCGCCAGGGCGACGACATGCACGCGGCACGTGTGCCGCATCCCGCCGAGGGGCGCCAGGGCCCGCCGCCGCTGCTCGCTCTTCTCGCACGCCTTGATGCCATCGCTGCAACGGAGGGCGCCCGGCTCCAGCCTGGCCAGCCGCAGCCCGCTGAGTAGCGTCAGCGCTGGCTGCCGCTGCTCGCTCTCCGGCCGCGCGCTGATCCCAAGGGAGTAGCTGGCGACTTCGGAATCCAGCTGGGCCTCCCGCGTCTCGCTGAGCAGCGCCAGCGCCCGGCGTCACTGCGCGTTTTTCGC